GTGGGGTTCGGCGTTCCGGGTGATAGCACCAAGATTGCACAAGTCATGCCATTCTTTAGAATCACAATGTAGCTGAATTTATTGGTAAACGCAACCTCAGCTGATTGTGGCACTGCTGCAGCATGGACTGAAGAAGCCATCATGACTTTCACAGTAATCAACAAATGTCCACTGTGTTACAGGTGGAACGCTTGGGTGCTGTGGCCATGATGGTGCAGGCTTGTATTGTTATCCGATGTTATCACACTGGCAGCCTTCTTTGCAAGGATGTGTGGGGCGCAGGCATGTGCCTGTACATGTGTGCCGTCGTCACTTGCCTGCACGACGTCTTCTTAATGGTGGTGCGTGATGCGAGACTGAGGAGGGAGAGAGAGAGAGAGAGAGAGGAGAGAGAGAGAGAGAGAGAGAGAGAGAGAGCGCGTACTGGGGGGCGTTATTCTAGTTGTCGTGTCCTTTTATAGGCAGCCGTGCTTACAGTCGTTACAAAGTCAGGGAGCCAGGAGACTGACGTGGCAAGAAGTAGAGGCTTCGGGGTGGGAAGGTGGAAGATAGTGGATCAGGTGGGGAGGCAGGTAGGTTGGGTTAAGCCGGTAGGGTGTTAACACCGTTCCGAGTAGAAGGCTGCCTGAGAAGTCTGGGATGTTTTTCTATGGGGGGTGTTTATGAGTCGATAGGACCAAAGTGGGACAGCCGTCGGAACGGACACTGCCCCGGAAGAGTGGGGAGCTCGACTGGGAAGCAGCTAAGTAGCCGGCTGAGTGGATGACCCAAGTGCGACATAACGATGGATCTTCACTGGTCATGGTCTTAGGAGGGGTGTGTCCGGGGGGGGGGTTGTTTTACCATATGTCCACTTGCAGGAACACTTCTGCCCGTCCCCGATAGGCGCCGTGAAGACGAACAGACGCGAGTCGCGAGGGGGGGTCGTTGACCCCAAACCCCAAGCAAGCAAGGAAGCAAGAGAGAGAGAGAGAGAGAGAGAGTTTATACCAGCTTTCGCGCATGGGTGATTAATATTCGTTCTTCACTCCCCGCGATACCTGAACAATATGTTCGGGTGGGCATTT